TTTTGGAATCTTTCCTGGTCCATCTTTGGTTCTTCTGGAATTTATTTTGGAGAAGGGATGCTTTAGAAGTCAGATTTTACGTTGTTTTCCAGATAACTACAAAGTTGTTTCAACGTTATTTGTTGAAGAATTTACTTTATGCCACCATTTATTTCAAATGTACCTATAGCAAGAAAGAGCGGCACAGCACAGCAGGTGAGAGCAGGAAACCTGGCATGTGAAGGCTGCCATTGTCACTGTCACCCCATGCTTTTGGTGCTGGTCTTGGATCTTTTAAGATAGATTAGTGATCTTTCTAGCCACGTGTCAGCACCACACTCTTCTGCTTCTCGTAGCTCTGTGACATTTTTGTTTGTTCATTATCATTTTGCTTACCCCCATAGCAGTGTCTTTCTTCCCTTTTATTCTCCAACTGGTTATTTGTATGTATGAAGGCTTCTGATATTTTAATATAGCTTTTGATCTGCCTTTTCTGTATTATGTTATAGTTTGTAACAGTTTTAACTTGGTTCACTTGGCTTTTCCAGGTATTGATTTCATGAAACCTAATAACTTTACCTTCTTTTCCCCAACATTTGAACCATTTATTTATTTCTCTTATTTGATTACACGAGTAAAAACCTCCATCCTTATCTTTTTCTTGACTTCAACATGAATGTTGTGCAGTGTGCACATTACGCATAATCTTGACTTGGGGCTAGAGGTAGATGTGTTTTTATCAAATTAAGGAAATATCTGTCTCTTCTACGATATTAACAGTTTTATCCTGAGTTAGGTTTGCAGTTTATCCTGAATGCCTTTTTCATAGTATTCTGTTTTCTATCTGTTAATGTTGTTACATTCATTATTCCACCCTACAACTTGGATAGGGTGTGTGCTATTTGCTAGGCACTTTTTTAAGCCCTAGAAATTCAAAGAATAAATGTATAAAATTGGTTCCTGCCTTCTCAGAGCTTCCCATCTACTTGGAGAGACTGTAGATGATTAAACAGATGTGTAATGTGATGTGTTAGGTTTGATGTTTATACAATAATCCCAAAGAGATCACTTCATATAGCATTATTCCCTGCATTCCTAGATAAGCTAAGCGGTTATGGTTGAAAATGGGCAGATAGTTTTTAGACTTTTCCCGATGTTATTTAAGGGAGATATTTAAAAGACCAAAAGCCTTGAAGGTAGTAATGGGATTTCCAAGAAAATATTCAACCATGTGCCCCGATAAGGTCAGATAGTTCAGTAAACAGATTATACCAATTCATTTTTTCATAACATGGCTTTAGAAATACTGAAAAAAGTTAGAATCAGAGAGTGACTCAATGTTTCAGAAATCACAGTTTATATGAAAATGAGGGAATGTGGGATCTTTGGGTGGGAAATGGCTGGAAAAGGCAGGATGAGAACTGAGTTCCCCAGACCAGCTGCAGCAATCCCCATTCGCCTGCACCTTTGAGATGCGCCATCAGCCCACCCAATGCCTGCCTCGTGCCCTCTCTTTGGCAAACTTTGTCATCAGCCAGATGGAAAGTTGCCTTTGCGGAGCAGCCTGTCCTGCTTTCTCCCATGTGAGTCCTTCCCCCACTTTGGTCCCGTGGGCTCTGCTTCGATCTCTCTGCACATTTACCACACTGTGCTGATGCTCTCATGAATGTCTGTGGCGGAGCGGAGCAGCATGGCGTACAATATGTTCACACCTAACAGTGTCGAGTCCTCGTGCTGTTCCCTCCCCTATGACTCCAGGCTTGGCCATCCATCGGCTTCCTTTAACAGGCCTGAGACCACAAACCCTATGCAAGTAAGGACTTAAAAGGTGCTTGTGCCTTGAGGCTTGCAGTGCTTTGGGTCTTTAAAACCCTGAGACATGAAGAGTCCCACTTCCTGGACAATAAGAAGACCATGTTGCTCAGGGATAAGCCACCTGGCTGAGGCTCCCTAAGCCAGCCAGCTCATGAGTGAGGCCAGCCTGGAACCCCCAGTCCCAGCCAAGGGCAAGCTGACCACCGCCACTAACCAGGCCCTCCCAAACCAGAGAACCTTCTAGATGACCAAAAGAACTATGAGAAAGAGCAGAAGTTTGTTGCTTAAAACTACAAAATTTGGGAATGATTTTTAAAATTTTTTTATTTAATTAGTTATACATGACAGTAGGCTGTATTTATTCACTTTGATATATCATATATAGATGGGATATAATTTCTCATTTTTCTGAGTATACCTATTGTAGAATCACATTGGTCTTGCAGTCACATATATACATAAAGCAACAATGTCTGTTTCATTCTACTATCTTTCCTATCCCCACATCCCCTCCTCTCCCCTCCCTTCACTTCCCTCTACCTAATCTAAGGTAATTCTATTCTTCTCTAGTCCCTGCCCCCCTTATTGCAAATTAGCATCCACATATTAGAGAAAACATTCAGCCTTTGGGTTTTTTGGGGGAATGATCTTTTATAGAGCAAACATTGATTTACACAGTGTCTGCCCCTCTTACTCAATTGCAAGCGCTTTGAAGGTCAAGGTAATTCCTTCTTCACTGAACACAGGGACTAGCACAGTGCAGGGCACAGAGAGTCTAAATAATACTTTTTAAGTGAAAACTCCAATCTCAGAAGGAGAGATTCTGATTCTACTCTACAGGCTGCCTGCTCCCACAGCCACATCCTGGCCCTGAGAGTGCGCCTTACATTTTTGTGCCTGATTTGCTAAATGTGTTCCCCAGAGACTGAAAGCAGGGGCCTCCTTCGTGTTTGCCCCCTGCTGTGTCATTCAGCACCTAGCACAGTGATGTGATGGGTCTTTGGCAAATAGCTGTTAACTAAATGAACCAACACAGCTTAGTGTCTGCAGCAATCCATTAGTGGCCCAGGGGGAGAGGGGTAGGATATTCATCCTTTCTCCCACACAGTCTTGCAGGCCCTGAGGTCTCCCCATGGGGTTACAGAGAGCAGCTTCCCCCAATGGAAATGCAGAGGGTGGAGCTGAGGAGCAGGTGGGAGGGGCCTGAGGGGCCATTCTTAGGGGTCAAGCATAGCTGGTCACCTTCTGCTGAACCCAGGAGAGCTGTGGCATGCACAATGGAGAGTCATCTCAGTGGGCACCCCCATAGAGTCTGCCAGGCAAGGACAGAGCAGTGGCCTAAGAGTTAAGAGATTGCATACCTGTGCCCTGACCTGCTGTGTGACATATTTCCACTGTCTAAGTCCTTTGGGCCACAAAGTCCTGCCCTGCCAGTCAAATATACCAGTTTGAAGAAACATAGTAAATGATAGGAAATAGCTCTCAGAAAATTAAAGACATAGAGACCACCTTCCACTCACAAACAGGCTGTGTTCCAAATGTTCGAGTTTCAGAAGGTTATTTGGAAATGGACACCACATTTCCCCACAGAAACCATATTGACTCTATGACCAGTGTGATTCTGCAATCTGTACAATTAGAAAAATGAGAAATTATACCCCAATGATTCAAATGTATGAATTGCCAAGATCATTGTAATGTCATGTGTAGCTAATAAAAAATAAAATTAAATTTAAAAAAAAGAAACCATATTGAAAATGGTGGTGAGATTTTCTTGCTTCCACTCAAAAGGCTGTTCAAACCATAATGTAACTGAAATAACATATATTTGCAAAGAGAAACCACCGGAAAAATACTGTTGCGATACTAGTAATTAAAACAGAAAGAAAAATAATACCGTGGAATAAGAAGCAGTGTTTCTGACTCATCTCAAATGCTAGGGCTTGAAGGAAAGTGGACTTAATTAGAAAAGGAGGGGGTGGTAGAAAGGTTTCCTGGAGATCAAAAGGCATCTTTCAGTCGCCCGAATACAAACTGTTTCTCCCAGAGAAACTGGATTTTTAGAGCTGCATCTTAGGTGGGTGCCATTCCTATCTTGAGGCACACATGAAATGAGAGGGAGAGAAGCTGCATTAGATGAGAGCTCAAAGAGAAGACAGAAGGTCTAAGGAAGAGACCGCCAAGCCTGGGAACTGCCAGGCAACATTTCCAAGGCTTGCTTTGCATCACGCTAAGCAATGATCCTATGCTCCTTCATTTCCCCATCACAGAGCCTGCAACAAGTTTCCCCATTTTATAGATGGGAATGCTGAATATGAACAAGAAAATGACCTGGTCAATGGGGTCAGCCATGAAGCTGGAGTTGGGTCTCAGGCCTCCTTGATTCTGCAGCCCATTTCCTTTATTCTCTCCCTGGTTCTAGGTGAGGAGCAGAGGAGGGAGAGGGAAGCACCATTTGTAGGGAGAGGACAAGGAGGCAATTGGAGGGCCCTGCAGTGAGTCAGGGTCACTATCCTCCCAGGACACCTGCCATTCAACAGAACAAGGGGTCCAGGAAGCTGCAGCCTTGGGGTGGGGAAGAAAAGTGCTCAGATAAGCCTCTGAAAACATTTTAGGGTATTGAAAGTCGGAGCTCACAACAGAGGGAGATCCAGGGCAAATGCAAGGAATGTGTCCATTCAGGCTGCTATGACAAAATGCACCGAGCTGGGTGGCTTATAAACAACTGAAGTGTATTTCTTACAATTCTAGAGATGGGGAAACTCAAGATCAAGGTGCTGGCAGATTCCATACCCAGCAAGAGATTGCTCTTCCGGTTTATAGATGGTGCCTTTGGGCTGTGACCTCATATGGAGGACAAGCTCCCTCAGGCCTCTTTTACAAGGAGACTAATCCCAATCATGAGGGCTTCACACCCAAGACCCACTCACCTCCCACAACCCCACCTCTTAATACCATTGCGCTGGAGGTTAGATTTCAACTTATAAATTTTAGAAAGACATGAGCATCCAGCCATAGCAGCACTATTAACCAAGTGGATAGAGTCCTTACCCTTAAGAAACAGCAGCCTAAAATGAATGATCTGCAGTAAAATTAAATCCATAAAGAGAAAAGGAAGAGAACCACCAAAATACTAAAGAGAGAGATTAATAAATAAATAAAGCAAATTAATCACGGAAGAATATATGCTGAGCAGCATATCCTACCTTGCAAAGAAGGCCCTTTCTCCTCAGGTAAACAACCCAGAAGAGTGTGGAGGAAAGAAAAAGAAACTTCACAAATTACCATTTCCTTTCATGTTGATCAACCCAGGGGTTCTCACTCATAAAATTAAAAGAAATAAAATTAAACTGTAACCAGCTCCCTCGGGCTCCTGGGAAGCACTCATGCAGCATGGAGGGGGCCATGGGGAGGGAAGCACATTAGGTTTCCTCCATCATAGTGATTCACTTCTCTACGTCCCCGTTGATGACTAAGTTACACAATCAGCAAGGCATGGGGGGCGTCCACTTCCTCAGGAGTGTCCAGCCTGGCCCCAGGCACAGCCTCTAGGATGAGGGCTGCTCTCACTTCCTTCCCGGCCACATCCCTTCCACTGGCCCATCAAGCACTCACATTGTCCATCTGCTCTGTGTCAATGGCACAAGAGTGCTACTGGGCATGCAGATGTCCCAGGCATGGTGACTTCCCTCAAGGAATCTATGACCCAGTTGCAGAGAAAAGGCCAACATGGGAAACAAGTCGAGAAAAATTGTTGGACAAATTTGAGGTCCTTCACCCTTAATTCTACAGCCTGTATCTTTCCACTCCTTCCCTTCTCCCAGCTTCCATGGGTTTTCATGGAGAATTTTGTCATTTCAAGGTGTCATACTCCCCTCTGAGCTTTGGGCCCCTTTCCCATCTGCAAAATAAGATTGACATGAAAATTGAGAGGACAGTTAAACTTCACTCTTAATTTTGCAAGCTAGCTTTGTAAGTAAATTATTCATTCGTTTTAAACAGCAATTTACTAGATGTAAATATTAGCTCTTCTAACTGATGGGTTAAAGGTTATAACAAAAGTGGAGCAGAAACTGAACTTTGAGCCACTCCTCTTATTTATGCTTAGTGCCAAGTGAAGTGTACTCTTTGATGGAGAAATCTTTGGCTTAACTTAGAAAATGAGTGTGAGCCCCAACAATCTCTTTTCTTCCCTGTAAACAGCATGGACTCTTACAGATCTGGAGGGTCACATTGTAGCATTTGCTTTCCCTTATGACCTGACACCTTTCCTCGTCCTTCTCTCTGTCTCTGATACTCTGTTGTGTCTCCTCTCTCCCTCCCTCCCCCTACCTAACTGTGAATGCACAAGCGATAAAAATAGACTAGAAAAAGAGGAGGATGCTTGTTTTTAGAAGAACAGTGATTGGTTATCCAGGGTCCTATACTTGCCAGGCACTGAAGGCAGCCCCTTTCAAGGACATTCTAGTTGAGTTCTCATGAACACTTAGCTCATCCAGTACTACCCCCCCACCCCACCCTACCATGCACTAAAGAAACCAAATCTCTGAAACTCCAGGCTACCTGCCCTGCATCCCTCACCTGGTAAGGGGCAGAAATGAGACTTCAACCACATCTGTTTACCTTCAAAGCCTATGCCCATGCTCTTTTCAACATAATGTTACCCTTGAGGCCCTTGCTTTAGTTGGCACCTCTTCCCTTACGCTTTCTAGAATCCCAAAAGAAACAAAACCAGTAGGGTGTTTGTGTGTGTGTGTGTGTGTGTGTGTGTGTCTGTGAGAGAGAGAGACAGAGAGACAGAGAGACAGAGAGAGAGAAATATATATAAATAATATATATATATATTATATATATAATATATATATATAAATATATATATAAATATATATATGTCATATATATATATATATATATATATATATATATATATATATATGTGTGTCTCCTATTTGTTCTTGGTGGGAGAGAGATCAAAATTTCCTAAAGACATTGGCTCCTTGATCGTGGAGACCAAGAAGTCCCATGATCTGCCATCTGCAAACCTGACCACCAAGAAAGCTTGTAGTGGGATTCAGTGCAGTATGAAGTTCTAAGGGCCACAGGCATCCATGTGTGGCAGAGGAGAAGATGGATTCCCCAGCTCAAACGGACAGGGCCCTCACCCTTCCCATGTCTTTTTATTCTGTTAGTGACTCTGCATAACAGATAATGCTGCCCACATGGAGGATGGCTCTTCTTTATCCTTTGCTATCAGTTCAAACGCGATTTCTCTCACAGACACACCTACGTTTTATCAGCCATCTGGACATCCCTTAGCACAGGACTCAGAAGCACCAGCTACTCTACACCAAAAGATATCCAATGCAGAGTTGGTGATCTTGGGTGTGGCTGGCAGAGAGGGCTGGCTCCCTCTCCCACAACTGCTTCAATCATTCTGTACTTTAAAGACAAAAGGAAGATTTGGGGGCACCTCTTAGACATCATCTTTCACACCTGTGCCCCATTCCCTGTTCCTCAAAACAGTTTCCATATTAGAATGCCTTCCTCCTCTGACTGTCCTGTTCTTAAACACAAACATCATCAATGATGAAGGGCCTTGGAGACCCTCTAGAGAGTCCCACCTTTTGCCAAATACACCTGTTACCTAGGGAAGCTCTTAGGAAGACAAATCCCAGGGCTCTGTCTTCCAGTTCTGAGACAGCAGGTTCGAGGTAGAGACTTATTTTTTAAGTCTTCTGGGTAATTCTCCTGATCGTCTAAATTTATGGGCTGCATTGTTTGCCCTTCAAAGTTCTACGTTGAAGTCCTTACTCCTAATACCTCAGTGCATGACTATTTTTGGAGGCAGGTCTTCTAAAGAAGGAATTGCCTGAAAACCAAGACTTTATGGCAGGCTCTGAACCAACAGGTTCTTACAAGAAGAGGAAATCAAGACCCAGATGGGCATAAAGGGGAAAAAAAAAAAACTTGATTTTGGACCTCCAGCCTTCGAAGTATGAAAAAAACAAATTTCTGTTGTGTAAACTCTCAGATTGTTTGGTATTTTGTTTTGGCAGCCCTGGTAAACAAATACAGGCACTATAAAGTGAGTCCAAAGTCCTCCTGATAAAGATATAGAACCTGGGGTCTAGGGAGGTCAAGTGAGTCACCCAAGGCCATTGAACAGGTGATCAGTAGGGCTGAGGCTCAAACTCTTGTGCCCTGATTTATGGCCCAGAGCTCATTTCGTGACCTGTACTGAGTCTTAAGGAACAGAGAACCAGACCAGCTCAGCCCACTTGAAGCCTACCAGGGCACTGTCCTGCCTACACCGCGCTCCTTCAGTCGCCCACACTAACTTTCTCCTGCCTCTGCTCAGCACTGAGTAGCATCAGCTTTACAATGAAAATCCTCTGGTCTTCCCTACTGAGCCATGCTCCGGCAGAACAGAGGAGAGCGGCAGAATTCCAGTAGAGCCGTTTCAGTGGGAACGACTGATTGACCTGTAAATGGCAGAGAGCAGGGCTGAGGAGATGGAGGATGTGCCTTCTCTCACAGACACTTCTGAAAGGGGCATGAGAGTCACTTATAGAGGGTCCAGCATGGTATTCACTACAAGATTCAAAGGGGACTACTTTCCAAATCCATCCTTTGAAAAGGGAATTCTCCAATCAGAGGACACAGTCCCAATTCTGTCACTAATTTTCTCTGTGATCTTGAGTCTATCACTTGATTATTCAAGCACTCATTGCTCATATGTAGAATGGGACAAAAATAAATGTCTGCCTTACCTACCTGATAGACATACAGTGAATATCAAATAAGATCATGTACAAGAAAGCACTTGGAAAAGTATAAAAATGTTATTCAAATAGGAAATGTGACAGATCCTTCATGCTCGAAAAATATACCTGGGTCAAAATGAATTTCTGACCGAAAGAGGCAGCCGCAATCATAATAGAAATGCGATATCTGATTGATAGGCAGCTTACATGAGTGGCTTTCAAATTTGGGGATGGAATTTGGATATGTAATGAAAAGAACTTGAGACTTGAAACCTGGAGATGAGGTTTGGGGCCAACCCAAATAGAAACAATCTGTGATTTTTTTTAACAAGACCTTAAAATCCTTTGGCATTTGTTTCTTTGTACCAAAGAAGAGGATTATAATACCCACTTCATAGTCCAGACAAGTTTATTATAAATATCAGATTAGGTTACACGTCAACAAAGAGCAGAATGTTATGCAGACAATCTGCCTAAATTTTAAGAGGACACTATGTTAAATAAAGTAGATACAAACTGAATAGGGTGGTCTAAGTGATTGGGGGAGAAATTGGAGGTCAGAAAAATTCTACATGAAGGAACTGCAACTTTAACCAAAATGCATTCTTATTATGGAGTCACAGAGCGTCAGAAATGGCTTGAAAGAAGGTAATTACCAATGTAAGCAGAAGTTGACCAACTAAGGGAGAAAATGTCGATTCAGAGATATTCTGCAAGGAAAGGTTGTGTGATTTTAAGAATTTCAATACCAAAAGGTTAAATGGAACAAACTAAACCTTTTAACAGGTGGAATGGCTTGAAGAAAACATGCATAAAGCCTGTATTTCCTGGGGAAATAGGAAACAGGCCACTGTGTGAAAGGGTTCTAGCATATGCCATGGAGAGAAGCTCAAAACATTGCAGTAAGACAGAAACTGAAAACATGATCATTTATTTTACCAATGTCAAACTTAATGGAGCAATAAAATTCTGTATTTATACTTTGGCCACTAGCCATACAGTTCATCTCTTGATTGTTCTAACTATTCTTGTTACATGGTTTTTATATCCAGCTACTTATATGTGAGGTAAAAATGAGAAGGTAGAGAAAGTAGCAGGAATTGAGTTGTGCTGTGCATCTATTCAGCACTTATTCAATGTTTAATTCTCCGAAAGTCATGAAAATGGAAGCCTATAAGTCTCATCAATGATGCAGAAGTGTAGAAGTTAATATGTGGATAAGAAAATATTTGAATCCAGTATTAGACTCATCTTAAATGAACAAAGACCTGAAAAATAGCAGTCTCTCATAGTAAGGGTTTATTTCTCTCTTAAGTAAAAGAAACACAGCAGTTAGGGAGTATCATGGCAGATCCATAGTCATCAGAGACAGTTCCTTCTAGCTGTCTGCTCTACCACATCTAAGGTGTTGTCCTCATCTGCATGGCCATAAAAAGTTACTAGATCTCCAGCCATCATCTCTATCATCCAAGAAGCTAAATGAAGAGAAGGAAAAAAAAAAGAGACAACCCCTTCCCCTTTTAAGAACCTTCTTGGAAGACCATCTCAAGACTTTCCCTTACAGTGCATTGACTAGAATGTAGCCACATGCTTTTACTTAATCACAAGGGATTCTGGGAAATGTAGTCTTTTATGTGTAATACAATATGTCCAATTAAAAATTGAGCTCTGTTACCATACCAAAAAAAAAAAAGTATAAATATTAATCCAGGAGTCTCTGCCATACCACAGTTTACTAATTCCAATGTCTATGTTCTTTGTCAGTTAAAAAAAAAAAAAACCTTCCTAAAATTATCTGTGTGGGCATTCCCCAAATCCATTTGGACACATGTGGTGTCAGTCAATCTAGTCCTGCTGCTAAATGGGAAAATAAAAGCCACATATTTTGATCATGGTTACCATTGCTATTATTTAGGGGACAATCAGGCTCAATGGAACAAAGGGTGCAGTGAACATTGACGAGAAATCCAGGAAGTTTTCCTGTGTCTGTTCAACCAAGAGATGAATTTTATGTATTGTCATGAAAATTGTGGACAGAAATGTTTCTGATATAAATGT